CTAAATTTCAATATCAATGGTAGTACTAATCCAAGTTCACAGAAGGCCCACATCAAAAGTCCTACCACACAAGACCCAATTCACATTCTAATACGAATCGACATCTCCACTGGAACCTTTAACCAATAAAAATATCCAATAATCTTTTTTAAAATTATGGCAAATCTTTATATTGATAAAAAAATTATGGAACTAGATTTCTTCCAAAATGAAACAGCAATTTACAAAGGTAAATAATTACAATTTACTGCATTATTTCTCGTGTCTTATAGTTATTCTATATCTCAAGAAAAAAGTTCAATCTTATTTAAGTTTTCTTTAATTAATACATCATACATCCATAAAAAAATACATAAGAAAATAAAGTTTTGCATTATAAATATATTCCACATCGGTGAAAAATATTTAAGAAAATAAAGTTTTACACTATAAAACTAGTGACTATATGCAAACTAATTGATTGACACTTGTGTTAATTTTATTTATTTGAGCTCTATTTGAGCAATATAATGTGAAGCTCAAATTTTAATCAGGTTTAATTAATTTTAATCAAAATTTATTAGCATTGAAATAATAATATTTTTTTATTAAACTTTTGTGACAAATATATATATATCAATTTTTTTGTGATAGAATTTTTTCTACCGTATTTATGTTGTAATTATATAAATACCTTTTTTGATTTAATATCAGTTTTAATAATTAATGACTTTTTTTTTTGTTACAACTGCGTTTGTGACTTTTTTGTCACTTAATTGTGACATTTGTGATGAAAATTATTGTAACAAAATTTTTTTTTTTGTGATAAGTAAATTTGTTACAAATAACTCATTAATAATGTAAATTTTTTTTATCACCATAAAATTCTTTTCTGTGACAAATGCTAAATTCATCACTAATGTGACAAGAGTTTTACTAATGATTTAAATTTCATCACTAATTTTAGTCTGTGATAGAAAATAAAAATTTAATGACTAATAATTTAGTCACTAAATGTGGATTTTCTTGTAGTGACACTAACAAAAGACCTAATTAAGTCTTGGTCATTGTATTATGATCAAAGTCTTTGTCAATGCCCTGGTATTCAAGTTGTAAGATGGCTTCTTTTTTGCCCTTATGAGGATTTAAATGATATTAATTACACCGTGCTTGTGATGGATGATGTTATATATGAACTACTATTGAGATTATAAATTTATATATATATATATATATATATGAATGCTTTATATTAATTTTCAATTTCACTAGAACTTTGCAAGAAACGAATAGATGAGATTCATGGTACATTATTCCAAGAAAAATTGATGTGCTAAAAT